GAAGACAAAAATTCAAAGAGAAAGTCAAAGCCTGCTACATTTCGACAACAAATAATAAAGATGCTAATTCTTGTAAAGACTAGTATATACAAAATGAAGCAACAACTTTGACCAAAAAGTTAACCTTTGACACAACTTATATATGGCTAGATTAGAAAAGAAACTAAATCCATGCATCAGTCATACGGTATCCAACTTAAAAGACAATTATCTTCCCTTCATCAACCGAGATCAAGCTCAGTAATGCTTTCTGTATGGAAATAAACATAATATGCATATGGTGATAAGCAACGCAAAGCTTCTTTTTCCCCCTTTAAAAGGTATAATGAGTATGGTTAGCGTAACAAACCTGTTAATATCTGTGACCTTTGGACCCGAAGAACCTCTCTTACGCTTGTTCTTCCTCTTGTTTTTCTTGCGTCTCTGATTTTTATTGCCTGAAACGGGATTAGTCGAACTAGCACATGCATCACCACTTTCCTCTAATCCAGTCTTAGAAATCCTTTCAACCAATTCTCCTTCCTCAATATCATTCATTTTAACATCACCATCCTCGAAGCTCTCCTCTTCATCAGAGAAATCTAAAATGCTATCCTCTAGCTCCATCAAATTATAAAGCCTGCAGGAGATTTAAAGAAATTTTATCCCTCTACAATGCCAAAAGAGGATGTTACATGCATAAGGGAAGTGAAGTATGTTGCAATGTAGTGAGACTAATATGTGATAGAGGTATATCAAAACAAGTAACAGAAGGCAAGGCAGAAAGTATTCGCTTGGTATTAATTTATTATAGCAATCCATACAACACTCCAAAATACTTAAACATGTAATAAGAATTAGTTGATAACCTGTATAGCAACCAAGGATAACCACCTAGAAAATTATGAGACGTGATTAAATAATCAATCATTTAACCGCCATAGGAAAGCTCAATTTGTTCCACTTTAATTCTGAAAGAGTACTCTGTTTCAGCAGCACTGCTTTACATGGTTACACCAGCTTTTTAAGTAAGAAGCTTAATCTGTGGCTCCCTGCTCTTGCACCCAGATAAGATCCAACCAAGACTAGTATTTCTAGTTTTTGTTCAGACAACTCATATAAATTTTACTTATTCAGATCAATTTGTTAATTATACTAATTACAAGTATGCTTTGGACCTCCCTAAAGTCTTCCAACTATCTATCCAACTTAGAATTTCTTATTTCTCAGAATAAAAACAATTAGATTGAAATCTGAGAGAAATTTTTGTGATAACACTAGATTTTTATGGGACTAGTGTTTCTACATTTTTGGTAGTTTCTACTGAGGGATCTGAATGAAGTATCCAAAACCTATGTTATTCCTGTTTGACAAAGATCTGTCAAGAGTCGAGACAGATTGGAGTCAATAAACATAAATTGTAAGCATGATAAGACATTTCGAGCTGAAGCTTTAGCAAATTATTTATTCACCGCCCTCTCTAGTTCTATTTTCCTCAGCTATCTATAGTCCTAACCGGAAGTTAGCAAGAATGGACTATGGAGAATTGGAGATAACTGGTGAGTTATATTTTTATCCTCAATGTGCAACTTAAACAATTCAGAGCATTCCTATTTTCATTTTCTTCCTCTCCATTCTAAAAATTCCTTCTCTACCAATTTTATTTTATTTTTCTTTCTTTACAGTCCGATTTCAAAATCAATCAATAAACTATTCATCGATCCCAAACTAGTTGGACTTAGCTACATGAATCCTTTATAACTACTAGACTCCAAAACAAGTGTTCCTCTTGCAAATAAACACTCAGAATTAATTTTTTTTTTTTTTTAAAGAGAAGAAAATAAAACAGAATGAACTATCGAATAGTAATGAATACTCAAGTCTCCCATAACTTGCTCAAAGCTTCAAAATATTCTCCGGAAGAGATACGCTCCAAAGAAAAATCATGCAATGAACGATATACACATTAAAAATTAAAATCAAACGAAGGCGCACAAGTAGTAATTATCTATTTTTCATTCAATTTATGACAAAAACAAACACAAATGAAATTCATCTATTGGTTTGACTGTTATCAAGTTGGAATGAGCTCACAAACAGAGAGAAAAACAAGTACTTAGTCATTTGATTTATCAAATCATGCTTCCAAATTATAAACCCTAGATAAACTGCAGATGGTACAAATACATTATACTGACTAAGCTAAAACATGTAGAAACAGAGGAAATTGAGATGAAACAGGTAGGGTTCAGGAGAAAGGGAAACAAACCTTTGAGTACGTATAACACTGCTTGTGATGAGCGTCTGAGCAATGAGTTCTAGAGGTGGCGGGGTGAGCAGAGGTTTATATACTTCCACCACCTTGGCTTCCGTTTGGGCTAGTTGAACCGATCAGGTGTTGGGCTAAGCCCATTAATTGGGTTAGATTTGGTAAGTCAATAGTTTCATCGGCCCAGTACTAATTTAGGCCTAAATATATCTGAATCTTTCTTTACAATACTACATCGTATTGATGCCTATTATAGAAATGACATCGGGTAGACACTCTAAAGGGCCATATTAATTAGCTAATGTGACCTGAATTTTAATTTTTTAATTTATTTTTTCGGGACACAAATATCTTAAATTTTTCTGAAATTAGAATTTTTAGTTAAATTTTCCGGATAAAATAAGTACTAGCTAATTCCTAAATAGCAGCCCTAAGAATGGTTATTTATGCACTTCCTCTGACTTGTAAGACTGTCGCTAGATTGCTAAACTGGCAATAAATTCTTGAGTAATTAAACTTAAACTGTCCATCCGAAGAAATAGTCGACTATATGAACAACACTATTTATTGTTGAGATAACAACAAACTAGATAGTTTTGCATTCTTTTAATAATATATGTATGCATGATAAAAAGAAGTAGAAATAAAACTACAAACTAGAACTCATATAATTTTGATATGCTACAAAAGAACAGGAGAGATCACTAATAAAGCAGAAAATTTAAACGCACAATGATTAATACGAGAAGGAGCATAGAAATACATAATAAATAAAAAAGAATAAGGAAAAAAAGGCTAAATTAATGAGGGATAATTTAGAAAATATAAATTTATGGTGAGGATATTTTTTTGTCTTGAAAAAAATTAAATTTTTTGCTTCTGCTTCTTGGAAGAAGATAGAATTTGTAGCTTCTTCTCAAAAGCAGAAAAATTACTTCTGTTGCTGCTCAAAAGCACTTATTCGTCTTGCCAAATACCTTAAAAAACTAAAAAAAAGTACTTATTAGTGTGTGTGTGTGTGTATATATATATNATTCTTCAATATCTAATATGACCCTTTAACTACTGTGATGGCCCAAAATGTCGTCTTTAAATTTAATAAGTAATTATGTGTTCTAAGACCTCGAAAAGCACCATTTAACATTTCTCGACTTGCGTGCACAATCCGTATAATTTTTCGAAAAGTTTTTATGTGAAAAATAGATTAAAATATGAAATAGAGCTTCAAAACTCAAATGAGTTGACTTTGGTCTACATTTTGAGCAAACAGACCCGTATCAGTATTTTGACAATTTCGGTAGGTCCGTATCGTGATTTGGGACTTGGGCGTATGCCCGGAATTGAATTTCGAGGTCCTTATCCCGATATATGGAATTTTGATAAAAAATTAAAAGATGAAAGTTTAAAGATTTTTAAGAAGTTACTAGTGTTGGATTTATTGATATCGGGTCCGTATTTTAGTTTCGGAACTCGGTATAGGTCCATTATAATATTGTATGACTTGTCTACCGAATTTGGTGAGAATCGTAGTTGATTTGACGAGATTCGGACTTGTCTATGTGTTATTTTGGTGATTTGATTGCGCAAGCAAGTTCGTATGATGTTTTAGGACTTATGTGCATGTTTGGTTTGGAGCCCCGAGGGCTCGGGTGAGTTTCGGATAGGATACAAGATGATTTTGAACTTAGAAAATCTGGTTTTCTGCAACTTCAGGCTTCTCGTATTTCCTTCATCGCGTTTGCGAATGTACTCTCGCAAACGCGAAGAGCAAACTGGGCTGGCTGAATTTTCCTTCTTCGCAAACGCGAAGATTGGGTCGCGAATGCGAAGCTATGGAGACTTTACCCTTCGCGAACGCGAACGCGACCAGCTCAATGCGAATGCGAAGCTTTAGAGGCATGGGGAAGGGGTCAGTCGTCCTTCTATACGAGCGCGAGCACTGGCACGCGAACGCGAAGGCCAGGGAAAAAAGCCTTCGCGAACGCGAAGGAGGACTCGCGAACGCGAAAGCCACGGGCTGCTAATCATCGCGAACGTGACAGGCCCTTCGCGAACGCGAAGAAGGCCTGGCGTATGTGACTTAAAACATAACCAAAATGGAATTTTTCCCATTTTTCACAAAAACCTCAATTAGAACTCGATTTAGGGGCGATTTCAAAGGAGTTTTTCACGATTTCGAACTCGGTAAGTGTTCTTTATCATATAGTGATTGTATTTCATAAATCTAAGTCTATATTCATCATTTATTTCGGATTTAGATGGAAGAAATTGGAATTTTTATAAAATCTTCCAAAAATAAAAATTTAAGATTTGAAGGTCCATTTGACATCGTAATTTGATAAATTTTGTATGGTTGGACTCGTATCGGAACGGGTGTTCGGATTTTGTAAGTTTTTCCGAGATTTGAGACGTGGGTCCCACTGTCGAATATTTTAATAAATTTCTAATTTTTATCCGAAAAATTAGTAAATTCATATGAAATTAATTCCTATGATTCGTATTGAGTATATCAAATTGTTTGTGAATAGATTTGAAACTTTTGGAGACAAATTTAAAAGGAAAAGTTATGGTCGAGTAATTGATTGGAATTTGCAAAGCGAGGTAAGTGTCGTGGTTAACCTTGACTTGAGGGAATAGAACCCTTAAACTATTTGTTATGTGAAATGCATGTGAACGACGTATAGGTGAGGTGACGATTGTCTATACATCGTCAAATTAATTATTTGCATAATTACTTGAAAAATTATAAATCATTTTAAATCATGAATTCATTATTATTATAATAATTATTTCTCTCCTATTCTTTGTCAAATTTTAATTCTTGAATTCCTGCATTAATTGTTACATGTTATTTGAATTATGTGTCTTAATTGTTATTTGACATTTAGCATATTAAATATTGAACTGCCTATTTTCTCCCTCATTTTCATAATAATTTGCTATTTGTTATTGTTTGTTTCATAATTAAATCATAATTATTGCATGCTTGTTGTCTTATAATTTTATATTAGTTATTGCAATTATTGGGGAAATTTCTTCTATAAGAATTGGTAAATGGATATATTGGAAGATCGGGTTGCACGTCGCAACATAATTGATTGAAATAGATATACTGGAGGATCGGGTTGCACGCCGCAACATACTTATTAAAAGTCAATATTTGGGGGATCAGATTGCACACCGCAATAGACTTATTTAAAAGTCAATATATATACTTGTATTAAAAATAATTATATGAGAGGATTGAAAATGAATATATTGTGAGAGCGGGTTGCACGCTGCAACAGAATTGAATGTGAATATATTGCGAGAGCGGGTTGCACGCTGCAATAGAATTGATGGAAATGATAATTGGTTATGACTCCTGAGTTGGCTTCAATTATTATAAATGAGTTACCCGATTTATTTTCATTATTTGTTGTTACTAATATTGCGTACAGGTTAATATAAGTGACCCGCCTTAGCCTCGTCACTACTTCGTCGAGGTTAGGCTCAGCACTTACCAGTACGTGGAGTTGGTTGTACTGATACTATATTCTGCACATCTTGTGCAGATTTCGGAGTTGGTCCCAGCGGCGCACCATAGACTTGCTCGGATTTCAGCTACTCAGAGGAGACTTGAGGTAAAACTGCACGACGTCCGCAGTTTTGAAGTCCCCGTCTACTTTACTTTAGCTGTGTGTTTATTTTCAGACAGCTTTATTTTATTCAGGCCCTTATTTGTATTATTATAGAAGCTCGTGCATTTGTGACACCAATTCTGGGATGGTATTTAGACACCGTTGTTCTTATGGATTATTCACTATATTTCAGACCTTACTTCCGCATTTGTTCCTTTATTATTTTAAAAATTGTTTTAAAATGGATAATATTATTCTAACGTTGGCTTGCCTAGCAAGTGAAATGTTAGGCGCCATCACGGTCCGAAGGTGGGAATTTTGGGTCGTGACAGTTAGTATCAGAGCACTAGGTTACATAGGTCTCACGAGTAGCAAGCTTAGTAGAGTCTGAAGGATCGGTACGGAGACGTCTGTACTTATCTCTCAGAGGCTATAAACTTTAGGAATAATATCACTTCTTTCTTATTCCTTCGTGTGAATTTATTCTATCATCGACGATTGAATCATTCTACTCTTATTCTCTCGCAGATGGAGAGAACACGTAATACCTCTACCGATGGACAGGGACCAAAGCCCCCGGTGGAAACTATGGCCAGGGGTAGAGGTCGAGGTCGTGCTAGAGGCCGAGGCAGAGGCAGAGGTAGAGCTCAGTCCCGAGCTCGAGCAACTACACCTGTTATAGAACCTCAGGTGGATCTTCAGGAGGAAGTTCCAGTTCAGAATGTACCAGTTGGACCAGTTCAGGTCCCGGAAGGATTCATAGCCACTCCAGTACTTCAGGACACTTTAGTCCATTTGGTAAGTCTTATGGAGGGCGTGGCCCAAAATGGTACATTTCCAGTGGCACCAGCCGTCTCACAGGCTAGGGGAGGAGCACAAACTCCCACTACTCCCGCTCCGGAGGAGATGGCTCCCCAGAATCAGGCTCCAACAGCCCCGCCAGTTGGGGTAGTTCAGCCAGTTTTTGCGGCACAGACCGATGATAGTGCCACCATGTCTTTTGAGGCCTTATTGAGACCGGATAAGTTTACTAAGCTCTTTCCAGTTCACTTCAAGCAATTTGAGCGTCTACAGTAGGGCAGTATGACTGTTACTCAGTATGAGTCCTATTTTGTGGATTTGGCCTGCCATGCTCTCCTTTTACTACCTACTGAGGGAGAGAGAGTGAGGAGGTTTATTGAGGGACTCACTCACCCTACCAGGCTTCAGATGGCCAAGGAGACCGGAAGTGAGATTTCTTTTTAGGCGGCTGCTAATGTCGCGAGAAGGATCGAGATAGTTCTTGCACAAGAGAGATGTCAGAGGTCTGATAAGAGGCCTCGTCAGTTCGGTGGTTTCAATGGTGTCTCGTCTGGAGGAAGGGGTAATTTTGGTAGGGGTCATCCTCCCATACCATTTCATTCAGCACTTCATGCATCTCCCGGTGC